AAAGTGGTTTCCAGCCTTTTGTTTCACTTTTGTTCATCGTCCACCTAGATGAATCACCCACTTTCAGTTGAGCATTTGGAGGTCCTAGCACTGAGGCCATGTTATCGCCAGGCAAAACCTCTGTCAACACAGATAGGATTATAGCTCTCTTGCTTGCCATCATGTCGGCATCCAACTGAAATGCGATCCACTTGAAAAATTTGGATTTGGTATCACTTTCGAAGTTCAACGTGCAAACCGTTTTGTCGCCGCCGCCAATTTCGCTAATACGCAGCAAATAATCGCCTTCAGCCTTTAGCAGGAACAACAAATCCTCTCGTGGAAGAAATCCATGGTAAAAGCTAAATTCTTTCAAGACCTAGAAAAAGAGCAAATTTAACGTTGAAGTATCTATCTCTTTTTGGCAAACCTTTTCTTCTTCTTTGTCCTGTGTCTTTTCGTCAACTAACGGAGGTTGTGCCTTCTTCGCTTCTTGCTGAACGACGTCCAGCTCAACCGAGTTCATGATGTGAGTTAGGAAGTAAGAAATGACCGTTCTCTTCTTAGAACTGCCTTTTATAGTGAGCGCTTATTATCAGCTGAGTTTGTTGACAACAAATGTTCCTATAGAAGCCAAATCAAATATGGCCATTTCTCGCTCATGAATTTGCCGCTCTCTTGTTAAGTTGTCCACTTCAAAGTGATGTAGGGCATTATTTAAGGTAATACAATAGATATTACCAATTGTTGTTTGATTACTGTAGGTATAGTAATCAAACATTGGTGTACTATAGGTATAAAATTGAGGGGGAATTTCTTGGGAATGACCGTGTTGCCAACATTGTTGTTTAAGTGGTAGCATGTTTCTGAGTTGACTAATAACTTCTTCATCAAATATGGCTACATCAGCTTTCTTTACGTATACACATTTGCTGTGCAATTTTTTTTTCTTGAAAAGTCACAAATATCTGTAAGGATTTTATTCGTGCCTAGAATTAATTGTCAGCAAGAGAACGACACAGGCTGGAGTAGTGATAACATAAACTTTTATTGTTAACACAAAAAATGGCAAGCATATATATTGCATAATTTTCTTATTTTCATAATTCAAGAAAAGTTATCGGGAAAATATTAAAGCTCCTAATGGGAAAAGATGTATTCGACGTACATTTCCAATTTGAAGAAGTTTGGAAGTTGTCTGGACCTATAGCTCTGTAAAAAGGAGGGTGATGATTGCGAAAATGTTTACAGGAGATTTTTCAACCAAAAACAAACTTACGAAGGTAGAACGCTTTTTCCTGTACCAGTGTTGTGGATGACAAGGTAATTAATTTTAGGAGAGACTATCATTCGTTATAGTGAGTAGGAGAGTGAAGATTGCTGCAAGAATAAAATTTGTCGAAGACAGAACTTAGACGGTTTACTAGATAGGCTTGTGAAGGTAACACTATAACGCATGATAGTTATATAATAATGATAGGATATAATAATCTGGCTTACTTTAAAAATGTTAATTCCTTTTGCTTGATTTCAATATGACTATAAGATACACTTTAGCTTCTTGCTGTCAGCCGCATCCTGGGAGTAATCGGAGTATGTCTCTCAGTTAGGCATAACTGTCTTTAATAAAGAGGTAATTTAGCCACAACTCAAGTATCTTAATATTTGTAAAAAATTAGGCGATGGCTTCATATTTTTCGAAAAACTGTAGCAATAACATTATAGATTTTGCTTGAGCTGATATCAGCATCCAAGCCGTAAAGCAAAAATTGATTTTGGCTGAATTGTGAATGTTAGGATAAGTTTTCGTTATTAAAGTTCAAATATCATAAATTTGAAATTTTTTCGAAATCTTGTTATTCTATTCTATGTTCTTTTGATATTGAGTTATCCCTCCTCACTTCATTTTGTTCAAAAGAATCGCCAGTTTGCAGTTGCAACGTAGATTCTTGTCCTTCATATCTTACGCCCCCTTGTATTCCTCGTAAATCTAATTGTAGTTGAAAGTACGCCGTTCGGTAGCTCTTTGTAGGATTAATACTCACGTAGGTGTATTTATGCCTTAACAGGC